TGCTAGCGGTTTCTGACCTTCTGCTCAAAAAGAAAAAAAAAAAAAAAACCCACAAAAAAACAGAAAAAAAATCAGTGCAGCAAGAGAAGTCTGCATCAATGAAGAGCCTGTTGGGGCAGTTTGTCTGGGACTCGCCCCTTGGTTCAGTCCATGCCCATGCACCTACCCTCAAAAGCACAAAAGGGCTCTGGGTCGATGGTGGGAGTGAGCTGCTTGGTTTTTTTAAGACATGAAAAGAAGACCTTTTCAAAATAACAGGTCACGGTGAATTTGAGCTGCAGAAGGAGAGGGGTTAGGTGATGCCAGAGCCACACTGTGTTGCACGTAACCAGCTCTGATGTCTGTAGCAGTCACCACAGGGTCCAGCCCTTCTCAAAGCCAGCACAAAGCAAATATACTGTGTTACAAAGGCCATCCACGGCCATCTTCTTGCCTCGTTATTTTGCTAGCTTGGTTTCTCAGACAGAGTTTCAGTACGAGTTTTAACTACTTCCAAGCCTTCTTCCATACAGAAATGCAACAACCTGCTGCCTCCTCCTCACAGGCAACAGAGCTGTGTCTGGCACTGCAAATAAGTAAGTACTGCAGTCCAACTATTTCTTGAAGGAAATACAAAAATGGCACAATCTTCGACTTGGAGCTGGAAGAAAAGCATATCAACATTGTAATTCTCATGAGTTTCAAGACAGTAAGTGCTCCTAGGAGGTGGCCAGGTGCCGAGTTTCAGCTTCCATGCAGGGACAGGAACGACTCTCACACATTGATGCAATGCACAATCAGTTCCCTTTATTGCTCTGCTTGCGTGGTTATATACATTTTTCATATCTGCACATGCGATCACGCTTATTCAGATAGGCTACATTCTAAGAGCCATAGCTGTCTCCTTGAAAAACTTTAGCACGTTTTTTACCCTTGGGAAGACATGGCAGGTAAGTCCTGTTCTGAAAGGACATCACCACTATGAAGAAGAAAACACTCCCCAACTTCAAAACCCCTTGGTGCCAGTCTGGTATGAAACTGGAACAATGTATGAGGGGAGGGTGGCCAGATGAATTGCAATGGAGCAATCCCAGTTATCATTCAGTCCGATAGCTTTCTCATTTGCCACCACCAGTCACGTCCTCCAGCAGCTGCAGGCTGCTGACTTGTGTCGTGGTGGCCATGCCCCACGCTCCGAATTCTCTGAAACCATTCTGAGAGGTTTACAGTGGCTCCTCAAGCCAAAGGCTGTGGGGGCTTCCTATTCAGGACCAGCAAAACCAGCAGGCATGACAGGCAAAGCCAAGCTCTCTGCTGCGGGTAGCCCGAGGGTATGCCCGGGTCCCAGCAGCAACTGTTTTTCCCGTGGGCGTAATACTGCTTGCCTCTTCTCAGCCTGAGGTGTGGTGTGACCAGACACGATGCTCCTTCCTCTCCTTTCAAAGGGAAGCTGCTAGAACAGGCTGTGAGTGTTAAGTGGGACAAATGAGATATCCAGTACCTGGAGGAGACAATAAACGCCCAAATGACAGCCAAGGTAACGCAGCCCCAGGACACCTCTGGATGGAGCCGAGGAGACCAGAGCTGTGCCTCTTGGCAGGACCACACCACCAGGCT